ACACGCTCACGCACACACACACACACGCTCACACCCACGCACACACACACATACACACACACCCCCACACACACACAGAACAGGTGTCTAATTATGACTCACCGTTTAACATTCAGGAGGTGACAAAAACCCGCGCAGTGACGCATTGTATTCAGTTAATGTTTGTGTTGTTAGAGAACAACATTTACACACGTTTAGAATCAGTCGTCACTAATTCACCAACTTAGAACCAGGCCTTTTCCCTTCAGTTCAAAAGAATAAGTTACTGTATTTTACTAAACTTCAACAGAATGTAAAAGTACGTAAACATGCAAGGTGATGCATGTTTGCTTTGTTATCTCCATGGTTACACTGCAAAAAATGACACAATATGAAGTAATAAATGTCTGAATCAAGTAGTTTTTTATCTTAATTTTTAGTATGTTCTGGTTTTTTTCGTCTTCATTTTCTTTTCTTTTTATTTCGAACCCTCATAATACATGTTTTCACACATACTGTATCAATATAACAGAACAATAAGTACCTGGTTCAAAAAGGGGTTGGATGAAGTAGAATTCACAAACAGCAATACAATACTGCCTCTGATGGTATAAGAGAGACAACATAAAACACACACACACACACTCTGACAACACACACTCTGACAACACACATGCAGGCCCAAACACTCTCCGACCCTACAACTCTCTTCCTCTACTGTCTGTCTGTCTTAAAACAAGATTTGTCGATGGGAAAAGCCAATTAGTCTTACTTCAAACACTTTTTTTCTCCTTCCAAGGGAGATATTTCTTTGGTTTTAAGTCAGTCACGAATATGTGCTAAAATTAAGATACATTTTGCCACATTTTTTTGACTTAGTTCTCATCACTTTTTGCAGTGCACAGAATCACTCCTTTGTCTGATCTGTAAAGACATGTTTGAGACTTTTTTTTTCACCTCTTCTTATTAAAGCTGGGGTACCTAACTTCGATTCATAAATAATGTTGTTTGTATCAACTGAAAGACTCTTAAATAAGTAAAATGTTAAATGAAGTCAGACCGGATCAGGCTGGAAAGTAAGAAAACACAATTTTGCGGACTTAGAGTAAGAGCCCTGTGAGTCACTATATGATGCTTTGGGCTGAGAGCTGATTGGCTGAGAGACAGTGGTCCTCTCGTTCTACCTTTCATGTTTGAATAGGTTGATTTAAAGATGTGACAGAGGCCCACAATACAAGCAGATAAAAACTAGTAAGAGTTTGAGTTTTGCGAGTGAGGAACTAGTTTGACGGATTGTATTGCGAGAAAGTTAGGTAACCCAGCTTTAAATTGTTTAAACATCCACAATTCTTTAACCTCATATGTTGTGTCATGAATAAACATAAAAATAAATCAATTTGAAGCTTGGCAACTGTTGTTTGTTGTTTTTATTTCGTTAGTATCACAGTTAGACAACATTATCAAATCAAAACATTTATTTATATAGCACAATGTATGCACAAGGCAACCCAAAGTGCTTCACGAACATCATCATAAACAAAGCATATGTAAAAAGACCATAAAAACATTAATATCACACAATATCATCAATAATCACATATCATTCTATTTCCATCTTTTCTCTCGCTTCCACGGTGACGCCTGCCCCTAACGACCATGGCTGTAGACTGTTACCGTGGTGGCGGTTGCTAGAGTAACAATCTAAAGCCACGGTTGCCATGGAGACAGCGGTTGGGGATGGGGATGGGGATGGGAGGCATGGCAACTGGCCGGGGCCACGGGGAGACGAGGCGAGGGCTCCTGGTTGGTCCAGCGTCAAAGGACAAGCCCCGCCCACTTCGGATCCCACCCACACACACACACAACTCAGAACCACCAGGGCTCCCCTCGAACACGGAGGAGGGAAAGGGCTGTCACGATTCGGAAATTACAACCTGGATTCCAATACTAAATAAAAGAATATTAGTTCTGGACAAAAAGCTGCAATTTTTTACATTATGATACAAAAATCTAGCTCTTTTTACCAGTTTAATGGACTCTTAACCAGTTGTTTAATGTTATTTTATCATCGACCATCAACTGTTTTTTATCTCTCAAACCTGGCAATAAACGTACTGTCTCTTTATAAGTTATTTTAATTGTGCCATATATCCGTGATCCAAAAAATACATTCAAATCTATGTTTTTAAATATATCAAAACACACACACACACACACACACACCCATGTAAATATCCACCATGTCTATTCTTTGTTTCTGTCTGTATGTTTTTGACTGTGTGTGTGTATTTTAACCAATAAAAACAATAAAACATCAAAATAAAAAATAAAAACTGCTCAAAGAATCTCGCATTATGTCCTGTCAGTGTCATGAGTTATCGATATAAAAACTTTCTTAATAAATGATGTTTTGACTATCCTAATGGGTAAACGTGTCTTCTTTCCACCACAAGGGGGCAGTATAGAAGCACATGATAGTTCCAGTGCAGTCTGTTCTCTTGTGTAACGAGAGAGTGCAAGTTTGAGGAGGTAATTATGAGAACCACGACTCTTCCTAGACCTGACCTCAACCTTTTACGATATTTTTTTGAATCTACTTTTGCATTTCAGTAACTCTGTATCTCTCTATATACGTCCAGGGCTCCACTTTTTGTCTGATTCACATGACATTTCTTGTAATAAAATATGTTAAACTATACCTGGGCTTCAACGCAGTCCATAAATGTTGTCTAGTCTACTGGTTTAGTCCCGGTCTAGGCTTGATTTCAACATAATTATTTGCAAAAACCCAGCCGGTGAAGACATTTACACGTTTTCTCTTTGCAAAAATCTGGCATATTCTGTCATTAAAAACAGATACAAGATATAGAGTTTTTTCTACAAATGTATTCAGCCCAGAGACCATGGCTGTCCCAAGAATCAGGAAATATGAATGAAACTGAAAATATTTGTTAAATATAGCTATTGACTGTACATTACATTTTGAGGACTTTTCCCTAAACTATAATATTTTAATTGATGCTGTATTTTACTTTTGAACATTTGCCCGATTGTGTATTTCATGTACAAAGCAACAATATATAAAATCACTGCTTCTATGTAACAATTCTGTGTAAACGCAGTGTGAATACATGTGATATTTTGTGGTTTTACACTGAAAATGGCAAATACATGGAACATGAACTACATTTGTGAGTTGCACACGTTTTTGCTTTTGCTTTTATCTCTTTCAACAAGCAATTTGTCATTTCATTTCAGCCTTAAATTATGTCTTTCTTATGATATTCTAATCTCCTATTCAATTTTGTATATTTGTCCAGTCTAGCAGAGCACATCAATGGAGCCAGTGTGTGTGTGTGTGTGTTACATTATAGGAATCCATTCAGCCCTTTCTTCTGGATATAAATGTCTTATGATTAGTATTATTGCTAAAACAGCCAAAATGATCGACAAGACACATTCTTAAGACACAAAATGGAAAGCAACACAAACATCTCACGTGTTCGATTTAGTTCTACCCCTGTAAATGATTTCCCAAGACAACAATGCACTCAATCTACGCTTCTATACGACCTTCTTTCTCTCACCCACCTCGGTCAAAACCAGGTGGGACACTGCGGCTGGGGACTCGGTTGCATTGCCAGGCTTCAGTAGCCATGACTGTAGACTGTTACTGTACTTTGCATCTCTATAAGCAGTAAGCAGTCTAAAGCCAAGGTGCTGATGCTCTGGCCAAGGGCGGAGAGAGAGAGAGAGAGGTGTGACGGCAAGATGGAGGGAGAGACCTGTGTGAAAAAGAGAACACAGAAAGGTTAAGGGAATGTTCAGCAGTTTCGACCCAGTTCCCCATGAGTCTAATGCAATCACTGCAGCGGACAAGGGGAAGCCCGCTGACCCACACAGCGGACAATCGGCCCAGGTTTGATCAATAATTTATATAGTGTTTAATATGCATGACTGTCAAATGCCATCACACACTCCTGGATTCAAAGCACATATAGCTCAAAAGCAGAATTTTCATAATGTATGCCTTTTTTACTGACTTCAAGCTGGAGTCACACACTAAGACTAAGTAAATAGGCTTTAGTTATGATGTTAACTTGTGTTGCGTCTCTTGGCGTTTTCCTCGTCAGCCTGTATTAATCATCCTATATAAATGAAATGCCGTTATTGTAACAAATTCTTGCATGCACTCTACTGTATCTTCTCTCTGTATCTATGAAACTCATACATATTTATTCCCTACGCTGGAGTGACAGGAACCTCACCCTCCTACTGTTTTCTCCTCTCTGACCCAGTTTTCTATTTGGATTACTGTGTGACTCTAGGAATATAACCGTTATCAGCCCACGTTGTGTGTTTGAACATTGTATGGTTCATGTTTTTTAACTTTGTGTGATTGTCTGTAACATGGCAGACTTTGGTTTGCATGTCAGAGCATCAGAATTCAAGAAAGGTATTTGTAATATTTGACTGTTGAACTTAGAAGGACAAAAAGTGAAAATGACAGACTGCAATCAGTGCTATCACAGCAGTAGGCCGTCAGTCACTACACTGCACATTATTCATTTGACCTTCACTTCCCACATTCTGTTCTTATTAAGATTATGATATTAGTTATTCGTCCCACAGTGGGGAAATGTCAGTGAAACAGTCGGATGACAAGTGAATATTAGGTATAGGACAACTCTATATTTAAAAGAAAAGAAAAGAAAAGGACATCTATATCTTTTGCTTAAAAATAAACAGTAAAAAAGGTTAACATATACATACTGAGCTTCACATGCTTTGGTTCCAAGTGTGTGTGAAGGCAAACAGATAAAAGATACAAACCCATAGAATCTCATACATTGTTCTCTCTAGTGTTTAGTTTATATGTAATTTTAATTAACAATAATCTTGCATATGGTAAAGTATGTATAATTAAATGTATTTTGATTGAAAAGTTTCAGCACCAGCCGTGTGGACAGCGACACCAGTGTGGCGTTTCAATCTGACGCTGTCCTTGGTGCTGAAATGAACTATTGTCGCAACAAACCGTGACAGCGACAAAACCAATCACAAGCCGGACTCGTGTCTGACGTTCTGCTGCTACGATCAGCGTTACTGTATAATTTGACCCACAGGGGCGTGCAGAAGACGTCACATCCGTCCACGCACATACGCGACCCAGTTCTGTGGCGGTCTAGAAGAGCGGTCAGCTGGTTCTGCTCTCGACACGAGTCACGTGGTCAGCTCACAGGGCTGGAGGTTGCGCGCTGACGTCACTGCGTTAACACTCCAATGGCGCGCGTGCCGTGGTGGAGCGGCTTATCAGAGCGCGTGGGCAGTGTCTAGGTCTGGCTCCGTTTCCATGGCGCCGGGGAAACCTGCTCCGGCCTCAGCATCTCACCGGAGCAGGGAGCGGGCACAGAGGGACCTGTCCCACTGGCGCATGCGCAACATGTCCAGGAGACCACAGGGCATGAGACAGAGGACACGAGGACATGAGACATGAGAGCAGACAGAGGGACAGGTCTAAAGAGTTGCTCGGACAGACGGACCCAGTCAGTCTCATCTACCTATATCCTCTCAAATCAAACCTAAGTGATGTGAAATAAAAGACTTGGAAACATCCGTGTTTCCATGGTAGCTGCTCTAATTGTGGCCTCTGATCAAACAACTTGTGAATGAAGCGGGAGCTTCAGACGGCTCCACCTCCTCTGCCACGAGTCTCCCTAAACACCTCTGCAGTCCTCATCAGTCTATTCTTCCGTCCATCACATCTCTACTGTAGCAGCGTGCGCGTACGTGCGTGTGTGCGCACGCGTACGTGCGTATGGTGGGTTACAGTAGGTGACTGGCTGCGCATCATCTGCAAAGTGCGCACGGAGTGACGCAAAGATTGACTTCACAGTCCAGTGACGTCATGAGCGCGCACACGCGGGCACGCACATAACTGAAGAAAAGTTATGGTTATTACCAACCGGAAGTGCACGAGGAAGGGGGGTGGGGGCTCGAATAGAGCGATGTGCCACCGGAAGTAAGTGATGCTTATAATAATGTCATCACTATCACCGGAACCCTCTGAGTGCCACGCGCCCCGGGGGTTCGTGAGGAGCCCAGTCTTTTACGCACGCACGCGCACGCACGCGCTCAGTCTCACACCCTCACGACACACACCTCAGGCACGTGCGTGCGCAGCCACAGCTCAGTGACATTTGCGCATTTCACTCCAAGGTACAGTTCTTACCACAGTTCTCTCTCTCTGCCTCAAAACTTTGCTTTAACTTAATAAAGATTCTTAGATTTAAAATCCATTTCTCAGAGAACAGATTTTTACAAATGCGACTTCCACCACAATCACAGACGAAAAAACAGACAAAAAACAAAACCTCTTTTTCTTTTGCGGCTGCAGTCTCTCACATGAGACTGTGACTCACACTGCAGCAACTTCCACAAGACTAGAGCGTGTCACCAGAACATACCAGACTTTTTCATATATAAATATATAAGTACATATTGTCATGTGACTACACTTAAACCCGAGCAAAAAGGAGACACAAACTTACCTTTGCAAAGTCCCCTCTGTCTCTCCTCAGAAGAAAACGCCTTCTCTTTGGTTGAACTAAAGGACATGCGGGAATGTGTCTTGTCGCTCCTCTTCTCCAAAGTCTCATAAAGACCGGGCTCTCCCATCAACCCATGGCTTTTTATAGAGATCCCGTAGTAACTCGTAGAGAGATGGGTGGAGGAGGGAGAGAGGCGGGGAAGGGGCGGAGGGGAGCTCGGGCTCATTCAAAGATTCACCTACACATGTACGTGCGTATCCACGTCACTGAGGCGGCGCACAGCTATTTATAAGAGGGGCAAGTAAGTATAGCCTGAATCATTGCGCGTCTTTAAAAAGCACAAGAAATGAAAATAGCCCGTTGCTTCTATGTGCCCAAAAGAGCCAATGTGTCCAGCCAAACGTGAAGTTGGGCTATCTGTGGAATGGGAGAGGTTTGAGGCAATAAACTCTAGTCAGAAACAAGTGGTTTTGTTTGAGAATTGTAAATGAGATTGTTTTATTCCTGTACCTTTTATCTTGTTTTTTTCATGTACTGGTCTGGTGCACACTGGGGACTTTTGCAAATGTATTCCAATGTTGTTTTACTGCAAATAGCGGAAGAAATAAAAATAATATGAATCTGACAACCAATTCACGTGCGCGCCTGTGACTAAAAACATTACCATAAAAATGTTTTGCTCATGAGCCCTTTTTTATATAACACTGACAAAGCTACGCGATTAGGACTGATTTAAGAACGTGTCTGAATAATCCAGAAATGTCAAGCAAAATGGGCAAATCGTGAGGCTTTGGAGCGAGCGGATGATTCACTCCAGCTGTTTAGAATGGCAGACCATGCTCCACGCTGCGCACCTCTTTTCATGCCATTTCTCTCAGTAATTAACACACGACTCCCAGCCCCACAATGCACCGCGGATTGCTTGAAATACGTTAAATACATGAACGAAAAATCAGCATCAACTCCGGCAGGATTGGTGCCAAGAGTCGTGCGCGTATGGACGTTTTTTGGGGGGAAGACCCTTGTGCGCAATTGTGTGTCTAGTGTGTGTGTGTTTGTGAGAGAGATTTGGGCACGAGCTCATGTAAGAGTGGTCACTTCTGGCGTAAAGTGGGAATATATACGTGCTTTTGGGGGCAATTAATTACAGTTGGGCGAAAACCTGTGTGTTTCTTTGTCGTGGAGGTAAAAGTTTGCGATGACCTGATGCAGAAGTTGTGTGTCCAGCCCACTCCAACCCCCGCGCGCGCATGTGTGTGTGTGTGTGTGTGCGTGCGTATGCGTGTGTATGTGTATGTGTGGACTTCAAGGGCGTCGTTCACTTTATGATGAAGAAAAAACTCTGCAAGAACACGTTTGTAAAGTAGAGACGTCACCGCGGCGTTGATCCAAAGGAGAAAAAAAAAGTATAGGTACAGGCGAAGAGATAATAAACGTGGAGTTGTGTGCTGAGATTTTGTATTGTGTGTTCAAAACCATTCGTGTTGAACTGAAATACTAGGCTCAGGGCAAGATTCAATGAAAGCAAAACATGTCTATGACCTTCAAATGTGGGTCAAAGTCAATCCTCCAATCACCAGCCCCTTCTGGACTGAGTGCTTTCCACAATCTATTGGTGTGTGTTTGTCAATCTACACTTTATTTCTCCATGCTTTGAACTGGCAAAAAACACAATAGCATATACATAATCCCCCCCCCCATCCAGTGTTGTAGTTGTTGTAGTAGTTGCAGCAGTAGTAGTGTAGTTGTTGTTGCAGTAGTAGTAGTAGTAGGAGTTGTTGTAGTAGTGGTAGTAGTAGCAGTAGCAGTTGTAGCAGTAGCAGAAGTAGCAGTAGCAGCATGAGCAGTAGCAGTAGTAGTAGTACTAGTAGTAGCAGTAGCAGTAGTAGCAGTAGCAGTAGTAGCAGTAGCAGCATGAGCAGTAGCAGTAGTAGTAGTACTAGCAGTAGCAGTAGTAGTAGTACTAGTAGTAGCAGTAGTAGTAGTAATAGTAGCAGTAGCAGTAGTAGTAGTCCACCTCCCCCCGTCTCTTCACATATTTATGCTTTATCAGTACAAGGAGAATCATGCATCAAGTTTTTTGTGCCTCGGAGCACCTGTTTCTTCCAACCAAAGTCAACGCGCTGTGACGTCTGGGATGACACTTTAGGGAAGGTGGGGGTGTGTGTGTGGTGGTGGTGGGGGGGCACACAACGTAATTTTCCCGCATGTCCCACTACATGAATATGCAGATGGGTGAATGATGGATCTGTTGAATGAAGCCAGGGTTTTAATTTCCCGCTGTCGGCCGGACCGCAGGGCTTTTTCTCTGGTTTGTCTTTCTCTGCTGTTCTTTAACACGTGAATCAAGCACGGGTTGATTCACATGTTAAAGAACTGTTTCATTGTTGTATGTTATGAGATGAATTATGAATGATTAGGTTAAAGACTTAAGTATTTGTGCTGTGTTTTATTAGATGAATTATGTAAGTTTGGTGCCATGTCGGGAACTTGATGTCTTGCTTGTTTTTTGGCAAAGCTGGACGAGAATGCGTTTGAAATGTAATTATCAAGACCAAGTTTTCAGCATTGAGAAGTTTGGACTCCCATTCAGACGTCATGTTTCTATATAGCAGTATAATAAAACAACTATATATATATATATGCAGTATTTGCATTATATATAGAGCTCCTTTGGTTATTACGTTACATGGGATTATTCATTTCATTTCATCTGGCCTCCCTTTACTGGCTCTCTGTCACATTCAGAGTTGGTTTTATGATTTGGACGCTTGATTTGAAATGTTTAAATGAATTAACCCCTGTATATCTCTCCCTGGTCTCTCTGTGGTCTCTTTATGGCCTCCCTTGTCAGTCTCTCTCTGGTCGTTCTCGCTGTCTCTGTCTCTCTCGTCTCTCTACGATCTCTCTCTAGTCCCTTCTGGTCCTTCTGGTCTCTCTCAGATCTTTCTATGGTCTCTCTCTCAGATCCCTCTCTGGGCTCTCTCTGGTCTCTCTCTGGTCTCTCTCTCAGATCCCTCTCTGGTCTCTCTCTGGTCTCTCTCTGGTCTCTCTGGTCTCTCTCTCAGATCCCTCTCTGGGCTCTCTCTGGGCTGTCTCTCTGATCCCTCTCTGAGCTCTCTCTCAGATCTCTCTCTGGTCTCTCTCTCAGATCTCTCTCTGTCTCTCTCTAGTCTCGCACTGGCCTCTCTCTGGCCTCTCAGATCTCTATCTGGTCTTTCTCTGAGATCCTCTGGTCTCTCACTGGTCTCTTTCTGGTCTCTCTCTCAGATCCTCGGGTCTCTCTTTCAGAGCTCATTCAGATCTCTCTATGGGCTCTCACTCAGATCTCTCTCTGGGCTCTCACTCAGATCTCTCTCTGGTCTCTCTCTCAGATCCCTCTCTGGGCTCTCTCTCAGATCTCTCTCTGGTCTCTCTCTCAGATCCCTCTCTGGACTCTCTCTCAGATCTCTCTCTGGTCTTTCTTTCAGATCCTCTGGTCTCTCTCTCAGATCTCTCTCTGGTCTCTTTCTGGTCTCTCTCTCAGATCCTCGGGTCTCTCTTTCAGAGCTCACTCAGATCTCTCTATGGGCTCTCACTCAGATCCCTCTCTGGGCTCTCTCTGGTCTCTCTCTCAGATCCCTCTCTGGGCTCTCTCTGGGCTCTCTCTCTGGTCTCTCTCTGGTCTCTCTCTGGTCTCTCACTCAGATCTCTCTCTGGTCTCTCTCTCAGATCTCTCTCTGGTCTCTCTCTGGTCTCTCTCTCAGATCTCTCTCTGGTCTCTCTCTAGTCTCTCTCTGGCCTCTCTCTGGCCTCTCAGAACTCTCTCTGGTCTTTCTTTCAGATCCTCTGGTCTCTCTCTCAGATCTCTCTCTGGTCTCTCTCTGGTCTCTCTCTCAGATCCTCGGGTCTCTCTTTCAGAGCTCACTCAGATCTCTCTATGGGCTCTCACTCAGATCTCTCTCTGGGCTCTCTCTCAGATCTCTCTCTGGTCTCTCTCCTGTCTCTCTCTCAGATCCCTCTCTGGGCTCTCTCTGGGCTCTCTCTCTGGTCTCTCTCTGGTCTCTCTCTGGTCTCTCTCTGGTCTCTCTCTGGTCTCTCTCTGGTCTCTCTCTCAGATCCCTCTCTGAGCTCTCGCTCAGATCGCTCTCTGGGCTCTCTCTGGTCTCTCTGGGCTCTCTCTCAGATCTCTCTCATATCCCTCTCTGGGCTCTCTCTCAGATCTCTCTCAGATCCCTCTCTGAGCTCTCTCTCAGATCTCTCTCTGGTCTCTCTCTAGTCTCTCTCTGGTCACTCTCTGGTCTCTCTCTGGTCTTTCTCTCAGATCCTCGGGTCTCTCTTTCAGAGCTCACTCAGATCTCTCTATGGGCTGTCACTCAAATCTCTCTCTGGTCTCGCTTCAAAACTGGAGGGGCCCAGGCCTTTACTGTCGCTGCTCCCAAACTGTGGAATAGAAGAGATAAGATAAGATAAACTTTATTGATCTCACAATGGAGAATATAGAGAAGACTTCTAAATCAAGTCTAAAGACACATTTGTGCCTTGGCTTTTAACAACAACTATTCGAACTATTTTACTTTTTGCATGCATTTGTGTGAATTTCACGCTGTTTTCTTTGCTATTAAAGTCATCCCTCACTCACGATCTTCATATTCACTCCCAGAGTCCAAAACAGCGACCACATCTCACCAATGAAGAAGTTGAGATTCTTGAACTTCACTTTCAGAAGGACATCTCGGCCCACAAGGAGAGGGGCATTCTCTCCAAGACAAGCTCATCACACACAACCTCACTGTGGCTTGAGTGATAGAGAGCTTGCTGATGTCCTGGAAGAGACAGGTCGGACCATCAGCCGGTCTGTGCTGGTCCTGCAGTGTCGTCCTGGTCCTCTGTGGGGCTGTCAGGAGCTGGATGCTAACATTGTATGTGTCCAGTCTGAAAGGCAAGAACCACATTGTGAAGAAACGCCTCTGCCCGGCTTCACTGCAGGTGGCATCTGAAGGACATACTCTGAGACGCTGCAGATAGTTTTAGCACAGAAGACAAATGTGTGTCAGTGCAGAAGATGATCAAATGTGAAGTAATAATTGCTCGAATCGAGAGGTTTTTATCTTTTTTTTTTTTTTTTTTTTGCTTTATTTTCTCATTCTAAGGGAGACATTTCTTGTATCGTTTTTGTCAAGTTTATCCTCATTGTCTTTGTACATACAGTTTATTTACAGATGTGTATTATCCTGTTACCCGCTA